CTAGATAACGTCTACCAGAGAGCAGAAAGCGATATCTCTTTAACAGTCACAGCCAGATATGTCATATTTGATGTCTGGACGTTCAGAATATGGTTCTGCATATTAACCTGCCAGTGGCTAGGCTGCTGCATGCACCTATGGAAGGTTATTGACCATGGTATAAACGTGGGAGGGATTTGGTCATAGCCAGGGTCCCCACCTAAACACCCCTTCCCAAATGAGGTGATTAGTTCTCTGCTTTAAGGAGACACCCTGCTGGGTTCCTAGAAAACAGGCGGTCATGCCTGGAGAGTAAGTTGAAGAGATTCTCCCTTTTAACATCAGGAACCAACTTTGGGAGAAAAGGCACCCTTTTGTTCAGGACACTTGGACTCTGCTTAAACCAGGACTTCTGCAAGTATTCTACCTTCTTCCTTTATCTCTCTGTTGTGTTATTGCTCTCTCTCTCTCTCTCTCTATCTCTATATATATATATTGGTTACATCTTTCTGTAAATATTTTTATTGCACCATTTTGACCTTTTTAGTAATAAATCCTATTTTCTGAAAAGTGTTGAATTGTTTCTAAAGCTCTTTAATGCAAACTAAGAATCCCTGTCTCTGAAGAGTGCTACTGTCTGTTTAAAACCTCTGTATACATCTGTCTGCAGTGACAGTGTGTACACAGATGCTTATTCAAACATCATAGTGTTACTGCTGAGATTTGGGAGTTTCCTCCTTCTCTGTAAAAAGGTGGTGGTGGCAGTGTGAAGGGTAAATTGCGTAATTAACCTGACCCAGTAACAATCACTCTCAGGCTGTTGGCACCTAGATTGGGGTCCAGTGAGCTGGAAAATCTTTGTGCAGGGTGCAGCTGAGAGTGGCATTGTTACGCAAGTGGCAGCACGTTTTAGATTGGATAGTCCTTTGGTCACAAGTTGGTGAGAAGGACTGGGGTCTGACGCCATGCCCGTCACAGGGACGTTTAGAAACGTCCAACTGCTCCGGCAGTGCTCCCATCCGGCTGTTTGTACATGGGCCGGAAGGGAAGTGGTTAATACAAAAGAACATTTGTGAGGACAGGTGCTGATGTTGGATGAGAAGACCGGGCTCACAATTACCATTCCAATTCATCCCAAAAGTGTTCAGTAAGGTTGAGGTCAGTGCTCTGAGTAGGACACTATTTCCTTCACCCATCACACCTATATGAGCTTGTTGGACATCCCATTCCAAAATCATGGCCATTAATATGGAATTGCCCTTTTTGCAGATATAACATCTCCCACTCTTCTGGGAAGGTTTTCCACAAGATTTTGGAGTGTCTCTGTGCCCATTTGTGAGGTCAGGTACTGATGTTGGTCGAAGACCTGGCTGTCCTTGGCATTCCAAATCACCCCAAAGGCATTCAGTAGGGTTGAGGTCAGGGCGCTGCACAGGACACTTGAGTTCCTCCACACCAAACTGGTCCCATGTTTTTATGGATCTGGCTTTGTACACGTGGACACAATCATGCTGGAACAGAATAGGGTCTTCCCCAAACTGTTACTACAAGGTTAGGAGAGCAAAATTGTCTACAATGTCTCTGTATGATGTAGAATTACCAGGAACCTTGACTCCATCATTTGGAGGGGGGTTCACATATGTTACGCCCGGTTACACACACATACATATATATTCACCAGATAAATTCATATGTGGCTACTTTCCCCAAATATACCCCAAGTCTGACCCAGAGATGGAGCTCATGCAGTAAACTGTTTAGCTGTCACTTGGGTCATCCATGCCAGGAAGGTCCCAGTTGAAAAAGGAGAACCTAATCCGCCAGGGTGCTGGATGGGCATCACAAACCCATCTTCCAGTTTTTGCTTCCTTCGCATTGTGGTAGAAGCTGCAGCTGCAAATGTTGGTAAGAAGTCACAAAGGACCTGTCATGTAAATGTGAATTGCTGCTTCCAGTACTCACAATGAGTGCAATGCTGGAGGGATTAGCAGACAGAATATTCAGAAGGTGACAACACCATGACGGCCTCCGGTGACACCATTTAAAGCAGAATTGGCCAATTACAACTTTGGTGGAGAGCGCAGTGATTACCACTCAGCCGGCTAATCAGTATAAAGTCACTCGGGGCTCCGCCATGAAATGGCCAATGACTCCATTCATTAACCTGACACATTGATTTGTATGCCACGTGTTAGATCGCAGATCATTCTCATCTGTATGGGGGGAGATCTGAACAGAGGTTGTGGTGGGTGACTGAGCAAATTAGAGTGAAGTGGATCATAAGACACCCACCACCTCCCCACTATGTGCCCCCCTCCCCCATCCAAAGGGTAACCACAGAGCTCAACATACAGGAATTGTTAATCGCCCATTTGGATTTATTCTTTTTAACGTGGAGAAATGATCATTTTTGGATTTGTAATTGGTCTGGGAAATTATATTTTTAAGACCAAGCCTGGGCCTGAGTCCCATTCGGGAAATTTCCCTTTAATTCCAGTCCTATAGATGCAACAGGAAGCGAGGGAATTCCCCTCTTAGTTGTCACCAGGTGTCCCTATTGGAAGATTTCCCTCTATTCCTATTTTGGTGATACCTGTAATATTATGGATTTTCTCACTTGCTGTCTTGGTGACACCAGGACACACAAAAGGTGAATATCCTCAGTGGGGACACACAGCGATTAAAACCTGACAGAGGTTCTAACCCCTCACCTGGCTTTAGGTTTGGTTCACATATATGCATTGCATGCTTTCTCCAGTGCTTTTTGCCGTTTGTTTTGTGTATATCTACACGAGTTTTGCTCAGCCTTTTTTTTTTTTTTCATTAAAGTGGAATTTGTTTTGCTGGGTAGAATAAAGATGCAAAAAACGCAGCAAAAACACACTACCATGCATTTCAGCATCTTCTCCATTGAACTCTATTGTAGCAAAAATGCTGCTTTTTGAAGTCCCTGACCCTTTCCAAAAATGCAGCAGCTCAACAAAACATAGATGTGAACATGTTCCATAGGAAATCATGTTAAATGGACTGTAGTGCGTGTCTGCAAAAAAAAAAAAAAAAAATGCATTGGTGTGAACAGAGCCTTAGATTCAGTTTACAAGCAAATGGTCATGCAATATATCCCGCCATTGTGATGACGCTCACTCATGATTACATTTACAGCCTGAACGTGACACACACAGCTGCAATAATAGTGTCACCCTGTCTCTGTGCCACCTGCCTCTGACTAGTGGTGTCACCTTCTGCTTGTACCATGTGCCTCTGGCTAGTGGTGTCACCTTCTGCTTGTACCATGTGCCTCTGACTAGTGGTGTCACCTTCTGCTTGTACCATCTGCCTCTGGCTAGTGGTGTCACCTTCTGCTTGTACCATCTGCCTCTGGCTAGTGGTGTCACCTTCTGTATGTACAGTCTGCCTCTAACTAGTGGTGTCCCCTTCTGCTTGTACCATCTGCCTCTGACTAGCGTTGTCACCTCTGTCTATGCAGGCTGCCTCTGAATAGTGGCGTCATCTTCTGTGTGGCTCTTAAGTGAGGTCACTCCAAACAATGGTGTCACTCTCTGTGCAGTCTGGCTCTGAATAGTGGTGTCACCTTCTGCATGATTCTGAATAGTGGTGTCACCCTTGGTTTGTGCAGGTAGGCTCTGAATAGTGGGGCCACCCTCTGCCTGTGTAATCTGATCTGAATAGTGGTGTCACCCTCTGTAGGACTCTGAATAATGTTGTCCCCCCACCTGTGCGGTCTGCCTCCAAATTGTGGTGTCACCCTTGGCTTGTGCAGTTAGCCTTTAAATAGTGGGGCCACCCTCTGCCTGTGTAATACAGCACTGAATAGTGGTGTCACCCTCTGTGCAGACTGGCTCTGAATAGTGGTATCAATCTCTGTGGGCTCCCCCCACCTTGTCTGTGCGGTCTGCCTCCAAATAGTGGTGTCACCCTCTGCCTGTGCAGTCTGGCAGGAAGTGTTCTATATGTCCAGCTATACAGAATCTCTGGTCAGGTGTAGTACATGGGCACTTATTTTACCTTAATTTTTGCCTGGAAATGTTGTCCTCTCCCTGCTCTTCAGAAAAACAAAATCACAGTGGAGTTTTTTATTTCACATTTATTTCACCGTATACATTTAAAATAAAAGTGACAGCACAGGTCATCATAAAGTACAAAACAAACACTCTAAATATACAATACATTAATAAATGACCGCTATCACAACCGGAAATAGAAAACTTCAACAGACGATTATCCCGATAGAAAATGTCACCCAGAATTACTTGGGGGCCTGCTGGAGAGAGAAAGAAAGAGCGACCAATCAGCTAGAGCCATGTGCGGGACATTAGAGTGTAAGCTCCTCTGTACAGCAGTGCAGTATATGTCAGAGCTATTAAAAAAAAAATAAAAAAAAAAATACGAGGGGAGTTCAAGTCAAACCGGGACTTTTGAGTTTATAGAATATAAAAAGAACAGATTTCAAAGGAGTGGAAACTGCATTTATTTTTCGACATACTCCCCTGCTACATTTATACACCCAGCGTTTAGCTAATGCCTGGAAAGCTTCGGCATAGAAAGATTTGTCAGTACGCCTGAACCATCCTAGGACAGCTGGCTTCACTTCCTCATCATTGTGTTCACCATTCCCACAGAAAGATTTGTCTCTTGTGCAACTTCAAAACAGGTTATGTGTCAATTATCCAGGATCAGGTGTTCCATGCTCTGAATGTAGGCTGGGAACCACTAAGGCCGGGATGGTCACTGATGGACGTACAGCCATCTTTGATTTGTTTACACCATTCAAATGTCTCATCACCGTACTGTGCTTGAACTCTTCTCTAGATATCCACAGGTTTTGTGCCTTCCTTCAAAAGAAACTTCATCACCACACGTTCCATGTACGCACCAACACTGGTGTCTGCCATCTTGATTAATGGCCTCTGGACTGGCCTGTGACATGTGTGCTGCCCATCAGTAATAGGACACACTTGCCACTTACTACTGCATGTAGTACCGCCACGCTAGCATCCCTTTTACACCTGGAGAATTAAAAGTCCTGCTTTGACTTGATCGCCCCTCGTATAATAATAGGGTGTGACTGTGGTGGGGACATTGGAGTGTGAGCTCTTATGTGCTATGGATATAGTGGCACTGACCTTGTTTGCCGCATCCACCTCCTCCACACCGGCTTGTGTCATGAGATCTGCAATGTTCTTCTCCAGGTCATCAATGCGTGTGCTCATCTCATCAAGTGTTAGGATTAAGGAAAGCACATACAGTGGCCGTGTACACAGAACACACTTGTACACGGAAACTAGCTCATTACAATACATTCTGTATGTAAGGGGAGACTTCAAGTGAAGTCGCACAATTTCAAGGCTGGATCCAGTGTGAGCCAGGGCTAACTGACAAAGTAGTTGTTCAGCAGTTCAGGTCAGGTTTACATCAGGATCAGGTCAGGATTTTATCCTGTTCACAACTGATGATATGTGCGATTCAGAAGCATTCCAATTGAAGTCAAAAGAGACTGAATTCGCACCTAAGCCAGACCGCACTGCTCAGAAAACGGACAGGACTCTTTTTCAATTCACACTGAATCTGCATTCTGGATGCACCGCATCTACGTGAACAAGCACAACAGAAATGTTATTTCACATGTCATGCGGATCGGATGCGGTTCAAAACGCATCCAAATTGCATACAATGTGAACAAGACAAACCAACACTGTTTATAAACATTCAATGGGAGATAGAGAGATGCAAAAGATGCCGCGTATCTCTCCATCTCATTTATTTGGATTTTAAAGCAACCTGACAAGTTACTTTATAAATAAAATGTGCTCCTATTTACCCCTTTAGAACCCTTCATTTACCCAAATCAGTCCTTAATAGCGCCTTCTTCTCCTTCACCATTTCCTTTTTTTTTATTACCATTTTTACAGAGTTCAATGGAGAAGCTGCTGAAATGCATGGTAGTGCCGTGTTTTTGCCTTTTTATTCTGTCCAGAAACAAAAAATCCACTTTAAAGTGTTACTAACCCCTGGACCCCGCATCCGCCATATCCGCTCTCCCCGGACCCCGCATCCGCCATATCCGCTCTCCCCGGACCCCGCATCCGCCATATCCGCCATATCCCCGCTCTCCCCCGGACCCCGCATCCGCCATATCCGCTCTCCCCGGACCCCGCATCCTCCATATCCGCTCTCCCCGGACCCCGCATCCGCCATATCCGCTCTCCCCCCGGACCCCGCATCCGCCATATCCGCTCTCCCCGGACCCCGCATTCGCCATATCCGCTCTCCCCGGACCCCGCATTCGCCATATCCGCTCTCCCCGGACCCCGCATTCGCCATATCCGCTCTCCCCGGACCCCGCATTCGCCATATCCGCTCTCCCCGGACCCCGCATCCGCCCATATCCGCTCTCCCCGGACCCCGCATCCGCCATATCCGCTCTCCCCGGACCCCGCATCCGCCATATCCGCTCTCCCCGGACCCCGCATCCGCCATATCCGCTCTCCCCGGACCCCGCATTCACTATATCCGGTCTCCCCGGACCCCGCATTCACTATATCCGGTCTCCCCGGACCCCGCATTCACTATATCCGGTCTCCCCGGACCCCGCATTCACTATATCCGCTCTCCCCGGACCTTGCATTCAATATATCCGCTCTCCCCGGACCCTGCATCCACTATATCGGGTCTCTCACAGTACACACAACATGGAAATACAATTATTTTGGTAAATATAAATGGCTACATAACTCTTCATCAGCAGGATATAGCAGTCTCGTGACTTCTATCAGTGGAGCACTGGTTAATCTTGTAGGAGTTTTCATTCTGCTGACTGTCCTATGAGGCTGCATAACCCATGACCCTCTGCCCAGACAGTGCTGATTGGCCCTGTGCTGATCACATGCATCCTCCCAAAAAAAAACAAAAACCATCTCTAGCCATACACACCAAACTGAACATGTGCAGTGCGACTCCTAGAGCTCTGTACTATCAGCAGATGGAATGGGGACAGTAGAAGAAGGGGGAGGATCAGAAGAAAAGACAGGATCAAACAGCCTTTTTACACAATGCAGAGGATTAACCCCTTAGGTTCCACAGTGAGTATAACAAGCATGCTTTACTGCATCTACAGACTGCTTGGACTGTTGTGGGTTTAGTAACACTTTAATTCTTTGCCTGGCAGATTCTCTCTCGCTCCAGTCACATACAGTACTGTACCGTCTACAGAGTCTCACCACATACACCAGAATGGGAAATTCTCTGTAGGGGTGTTCATACTGGAGGGGGGGGGGATATATTCTGCTGCACACAGCAGACTCCCTGCCCAGGACTTAAACGTAGGATGGGCACAGCAGCTACACATCTGTTTTCTTATCTTCTGTGCAGGCGCAAGTCTGTCCCTGTCATCTGCTCCTCACCAACACAACGTCCCTGGTGTGTACTGAAGAGGAATTCTCTATAGCTCATTAATCAGGATGGAGACGAAACTACTCAGTACAGTGAGTTTAGCATTCAGTCTCCTCGGTAACAATGGATCACTATGAGATACAGATAGTTACTGCAGACACAGCCTTGTCAAGGGTCAGAGTCCAGCCTGGGATGAAGAGGAGAACCCCCAACATAGGCCAGATTAAAGGGGAACCCTAACCAGACAGTTCTCAGAATGAACTGGACGTATCCTATCATTTGCTGGGTAATACATGGTCTCTTCTGCTTTTTTGGTTTCTTAAAGTGTTACTAAACCCACAACAGTACAATCAGTCTGTATATGCAGTAAAGCATGCTTGTTATACTCACTGTGGAACCGAAGGGGTTAATCCTCTGCATTATGTAAAAAGGCCATTTGGTCCTGTCTTCTCTGCCCCTCCTCTTGTTCAAATGTCCACCTGATAAGACCCTTAGTCACATGCTCAGTTTGGTGTGTATCGTTATAGGTGGTTTCTTTTCTTGGGAGAGTACATGTGATCAGCACAGGGCCAATCAGCACTGACCAGACAGGGGTCAGGGGTTCTGCATCCTCCTAGAGCAGAAAGAAAACTCCTCCTACAAACTTTAACCAGTGTTCTGCTGAAGTCACAAGACTGCCCTAACTTCTGATGAGAAAAGGTATTTAGCAGTTTATATTTATTAAACTAATTTAATTTCCATGTTGTGTGTACCGTGGGAGACCGGATATAATGAATGCAGAGTCCTGGGTTTAGTAACGCTTTAAGGGCCAATTCATACAGGAATGGACAGCTACCATAGTGCTTTACCTGTCCGCCAGGTAGGAGGTGGTGTGGTGTGCATTTCAGTGCATCACATATTGATCCCTTTTTTTGTATTTGTAGAAACTTTATTTGAAGTGTTCAAAAGTACACGTCATTCATACTTCTGCACAGTGACATGCAAATCTGTACAGTGTGCTGCGATAAAATGCAACACGTCTGCAGTATATCACAACGTGCTGCAGCACAGCTCTGGGCGGAGTTGCAGTGTGAATGGGACACACAGGAAACAATAGTTCTCTGTGTGTCCCTGTGGTGACAGGCATTTTACAATGCAGTATTAGCATGTTTGAATTCACCCTAAGTGACCCCCCCAGTATCAGAATGCTCCCAGCAACCCCCACCCACACAGGCGTCAGAATGGCCCCAAGTGACACCCCCCTTCCCCTCAGGTGTCAGCATGGCCCCAAGTGACAGCCCCTCACTCAGGTGTCAGAATGGCCTCCAGTGACACCCCCTTCCCCTCAGGTGTCAGAATAGCCTCCAGTGACACCCCCTTCCCCTCAGGTGTCAGAATAGCCTCCAGTGACACCCCCTTCCCCTCAGGTGTCAGAATGGCCACCACCGACACCCCTCTCTCCTCATGTGTCAGGGTTTCTTTGATAGTCCCACATACAATGTACACTGATGTATGTGTCTTGCCAGAGCCAATCAGAGTCAGTGTCAAGGTTGGGACATGATGTTTAAGTGGCCTTCATAGGACACTAACCCCCCCCCCCCCCTCCCCAATGCACATTACTGGAAGAATCAGTCACTTGGTTTGCTCTAATTGGTCGGAATGAGCGCTCTTCACTACACACCATTCTGTGGAAATCATCCAATCAGATCATTTCATGTACAGTACAGAATGGGGAGGAGGAATACCATGTGTCCAGGGAAGGATATTTCTGCCGATGATCTGGTCAGACATGGTCTGGAACTTGTCCTGCATCTGCTGGAGAAGATTCTGGACCTGAGAGAGAAAAGAACCAATCAGGGGCTGCTAAGAGGACCTGCCTACTGCCAGCTGTACAAATAAAACCATATGGATGAGAGGATATGGGGGGGGGGGGGGGGGGGGCATGGGAAGGGAGTATATAGGGGGAGGTTCAGTGGAATGTGGGGACGGGGGTACATGGAGGAAGGCTGATGCAGAAGGGGAACATACAGGGGTACTTGTGAAAGGTGTATATGGAGGGGGCTGTAGTGGGGGAGATAAGGAGGGGGTAATGGGCATGGTATATACAGGGGGACATGTGAAAGGTGTATATGGAGGGGGCTGTAGTGGGGTAGATAAGGAGGGGGTCATGGGCAGGGTATATACAGGGGGACATGTGAAAGGTGTATATGGAGGGGATTGTAGTGGGGTAGATAAGGAGGGGGTCATGGGGAGATGTGAAAGGTGTATATGGAGGGGGTTGTAGTGGGGTAGATAAGGAGGGAGTCATGGACAGGGTATATACAGGGGGTCATGTGAAAGGTGTATATTGAGGGGATTGTAGTGGGGTAGATAAGGAGGGGGTCATGGGGAGATGTGAAAGGTGTATATGGAGGGGGCTGTAGTGGGGTAGATAAGGAGGGGGTCATGGGCAGGGTATATACAGGGGGACATGTGAAAGGCGTATATGGAGAGGGTTGTACTGGGGTAGATAAGGAGGGGGACATGTGGTGGGGGGTATACATACACACTGATCAGCCGTAACTTTATGACCACCCACATAATATTGAGTAGCTCCCCTTTCTGCTGCCAAAAGAGCCCAGACACATCCAGGCATGGACTTCGCTAGACCCGTGAAGGTACAACTGTGGTCTCTGGCACCATGCCCTCAGTAGCGGATCCTTCATGTCCTGTAAGTAGTGAGCTCCATGGATCGGACTAGTTTTCCCAGCACATTCCACAGATTCTCAATTGGATTGAGATCTGGAGAATTTGGAGGCCAAGTCAACACCTCACACTCATTGTTGTGTTCCTCAAACCATTCTTGAACCATTTTTGCAGGGTGGCCGGCACATTATCCTGCTGAAAGAAGCCACAGCCATCAGGGAATACGATTTTCATGCAGGGTGAACTCGGTCAGTAATAAAGTAGAGGTAGGTGGTACATCCACATGAATGGCAGGACAGGTCTCCTGGCAGAACATCGGCTAAAGCATCACCCTGCCTCCGCTGGCTTGTCTTCTTCCCATCCTGGCGCCATCTCCTCCCTAGGTAAGACGTACACATCCCGCCATCCTCATGATGGAAAGGAAACCATCAGACCAGGCCTCCTCCTTCCAATGCTCGGTGGTCCAGTCCTGATCCTCACGTCCCCATTGTAGGCGCCTTAGTCTGTGGACCCGGGGCAGCATGGGCCCCCTGAAGGCTCCGCAGCTACACAGACCCATACACAGCAAACGGCAACAATCAGATTTCTCCAGACTTCCATATTTTTCCAACTTCAGGGACAACATGCTCACCTCTGCCTAATACATCCCACTGACTTCCATTGTAACCAGATAACATCGTTCCCTTCACCTGTCAGTGGTCATAATGTTATGGCTGATCAGTGTGTATATATGTCAGGGGCGGACTGACCATTGGGGAACTCGGGCACTGCCTGAGGGCCCGGGGTCAGTTAGGGGCCCCATGAGATGCCCCTGGTACCTTTTTCATAGGCTTTTTTGAGTTTGGGCAAGGACACAGGGGCCCCATGATCCCCTATTGCCGCCCGGGCCCCATGAGTTGTCAGTCCGCCACTGATATATGTTCACTGGGGGGATTTGTGGAAATACAGAACATCCTCTCGGAGATCTCCCTCTGTGGGACCCTCGGGAGCAGTGTAAGGGGCCCAGAGGTGATATGGGGCCCCTGGCGGTGACCCGTGTCTCTTGAAGACAATATGTGGCCCCTGCAGACAGTGTTTGGCCCCTACTGGTGCTGTGTGCCGACTCCACCCCGGCTCCGCACTCACCAGCTCGGTCAGGTCTTGCACCGTCTTGGGATCCGCACAGTCCGCCATCTCCCAGCTCTCCCTCTGCTCTTCCCGCAGGCCGCACAGAATACGCCCCACTCCTCCAATCAGAGCCACGGAGGTCAGCCTGCCAACTCCGCCTCTTCCGGGAAAGACACCATGGAGACGAGAAGCCGTTTTTGGGAGGGAGGCTGTATGCTGTGCTCGATCCCGTGCGCGTCCCCGACTCCTCCGACAATGCTGGGCTGTGATTGGTTCATTGTATTCCTCTTGTATATTCGCGCCAGAGTATTCAACCCCTGGCTCCTCCCCCTCGGACTAAGCCGGTGTTCTGACTGAGGTCCTCAGTGCGCAGTTCTGTTGTGCGCAGGTGCCTGGACTTCCGGGGAACTTCCGGGACAATTTAATAGGCGGTGAGGAGACAGAGAACCTGTCAGCCATGGAGCCGGCTGGAGAAGGAGACGGGTGGCACATAGAGGACTGTGCATTTCTTGTTTGTTCTGTGTGCCTCGGCTATCCATCTCCTGCATGCACCCCCACGGCCCCCCCTCCAGCACTGCAGGGGATCTGTCAGCATATGCACTCCCCAGTGCTGACAGTCCCCCCCCCCCCCCCCCATACAGGCGGGAGAGCAGAGAGAAAGCTGCCTCTCCTCCTCCTGTGTCTCCCCCGCCCACACTTCCAGCCAACCATGTGTATGCTTCCCCCCTCCCTCTCTCCCCCCCCTCTCTCTCGCCCCCCTCTCTCTCCTCCCCCCCCTCTCTCTCCCCCCGTCTCTCTCTCTTCACCCCCCCTGGACAGGATACAGGGGATGGTCCAAGACTGTAGACATGATACAGGAGATGATCAGCGTCTGCTGATATACTCCAGGAGATGGTCAGAGACTGTGGACAGGATAGAAGAGAGATCAGAGACTGCGCACATAGTAAAGGAAGCAGTCAGAAACTGCAGACATAGTACAGGAGACGGTCAGAGACTGCGGACAGGAGACGGTCAGAGACTACCCTAATCTACACTACACTACTCTACACTACACACTATTACCCTAACACTAATCTACACTATCCTAACCTAATCACTACACTACTACTCCCTACCCTACGCTAATCTACACTACTCTACCCTAATCTACACCACTCTACCCTAATCACTACACTACTCTACCCCAAATCTACACACTACACTACTCTACCCTAATCAACACTACTCTACCCCTAATCTACACTACACTGCACTACTCTACCCTAATCTACACTACACTGCACTACTCTACCCTAATCTACTCTACTCTAATCTACACTACTCTACCCTAATCTACACTACACTACTCTTTTATTATCTACACTTCCCTAATCTATACTACACTATTCTACCCTAGCCTACACTACTCTACTACCTACAACTACTCTACCCTTAACACTACACTACTCTACACACTACTAACCCTAATCTACACTACACTACTCTATCATAAACTACACTACCCTAATCTACACTTTACTATTCTACCCTAATCTACACTACACTACTCTACACTACACTAGTCTACCCTAACCTAACACTAGTCTACCCTAATCTACACTACCCTAATCTACACTACTCTTGTGATGGATTTGGTAAAATGCCTATTTCGTTTCCTATTGAATATATATATATATACGCTATTTCTATAAGTTTTATAAATATTTACTTTTATACTTTAATATATATGTTGTGTGAATATTTTCTGCCTGCTGGGCTTTGTGGTACTTTAAGAAATCCTTGCTTAAGAAATATTTGCTCACAGGAACAGACCCCCTCCCATCGTGTGATTTGGAAGACAAAAGAATGTTTTTCTCTTTTTAAGATAAGACTGAAAACAATCACACCTATACCATGACGGAGATTGTTTTCGTGTAAAGTGACCAATCAAAGACTAATATAATGCTTATGCTGTTATCACGTGATGTTCGCATCACTTTTCATATATAAGCTCACGGTTTCATTTCAATAAATTAGAGAGAAGTTTTCACAGACCAAACGTGTCAGTGTGAGTTTCTTTATGTGCGCACATTCCAAAAGCTGGCCAGCGTCATAAATTTTAGACAGGAACAGATAAGCACTGGATGATTAAGTCCAAGACTAAAACAATTTGGTGCCAAGAAACCCGGGAACTGAATAATGAACCTGCAGCCAGCCGCCATGAAAAGGCGTTCGGTGTCAGTCAAACTGGACAGGCCGGAGAGCTTGATCACCTCTCGGAGCATGGTAAGATATATTTTGCTATCTTACCATTGCTTATCCTGTCTTTGTTGTTGATTCATACCTGTGCCTAGTACGGCTGCTAAAGGTCAATAAAGGCAGGTAACCTTGTATGCCCGGAGTTTATTTAAATATACCTGCATGTGCTTATCTGTTACCTGGGTCTCTGTTGTGTGTTTTTATGTATCAGTCTTGAGGTGGAAGAGGAGTGGACCTACTGAGGGTTTTGACACATAATTTCTCTGGGTGTGTGGTAACCTTGTGTGTTGACCACAACAGAGGAGGTGTCGGATATGCGTCACGGTAGTGTGACAGCGGGTGCCCTAGCCATTTTTGGGGCTAGGAAGAGTTACTCAGTGATCTGTACTCATGGCCCACCAAGATAGACTGCTATGTTATGTCCTAAATGTGTGTCTGTAAGCTAATGTTTGCCATTTATAACAGAAGGTTGGGGTTTGTTAAGGGTTAAGGAAAGTCTGGACAGCAGCCTGTGAAGTGTCTTAGATTCCTGTTAGGAAGGACAGAGAAGGGGGGAGGAGATGGGTCAGACGCTGATAAGACCCCTAGAAAGGAATGTTAGCATGTGACCTGGTTGCAGAGAGAGAACACTCCCTATCCCCTTATGAGATTTTGTTTAGCTCAGCCCCCAGACTTGGTTGTTATTTTCCACAACAGTTGCAATTACAATTTGATGTGTTAACTGATTATGTGACTGTATTATTACGTGAATTAATCCGTATCCATGTCCAAGTGTTTTCTCCATTCCAGATTCTGAGTCAGATACAGGAACTCACAGCCTATTACCCGGAGATTGGGTATTAGTAAAGACATTTATGAGGAAACATTCCCTTGAGCCAAGATATGATGGTCCATTCCAAGTTCTGCTGACCACAGCCCCTTCTGACAAGGTGGCCAGGAAGAACACTTGGATACACGCCTCCCACTGCAAGAAAGTCCCGAACCCTGAGGGAAAGGCGTCATCTACACCATGACAACTATGTTGTATATCCTTTTTCTAATGAGTCTGATAGAGGCTCAACAGGTGGATATCACTGAAATAGGTGACACCACTATATTTTGGTACAACTCATCCAACACTCATGTAGCTATTTACACCTTTGATTTCTGTAGTATAGATCCCATGTGGTGCTATGACCGTAATCTATATGACCTTGACATATTGAGCATGTTCCGATAGTAGTGAGTGAATATACATATGTGTCACGGATAATTACTGGTAACCAAAAGATTAGAATAAGATTGGAAGGGATTTGTACTGGTGAGTGTGCTCTTGCAAAGGCCATTATGCCTCTCCACATCCTAGCAGAGAATACCCCTGACCCAACGCCTGGCCATAGGAGGAAACGAAAAGCTCCTTCTGGTAGTTTTGACCCACATGTGTATATAGATGCCATTGGAGTCCCAAGGGGGGTGTCTAATAAATTTAAAGCCAAAGACCAAGTAAAGCAGGTTTTGAATCCCTGATTCCCATGATAACTGTTAATAAAAATGTAGATTAGATAAATTACATATACTACAACCAACAGAGAGGTTTGTGAATTACACCAGGGATGCCCTTCAAGGAATCGTTGACCAGTTAGCCCCTACATCCTACATGACATTCCAGAATAGGATGGCTCTAGACATGATTTTAGCAGAAAAAGGAGGTGTCTGTAAAATGATAGAAGGAACCGGAACATGTTGTACATATATTCCTGACAATACTGGCCCGAATGGTAAGGTTACTCGGTATAAATAAATTGGAAGATCTGTCAGTGGAGCTGAAGAAGAACTCAGGTATCTCAGACCCGTGGGATCAATATTTTAGCTGGATGAGTGGGTGGAAAAAAGTGCTCGCCCAAATAGGGGTAACTGTACTAATAATTCTAGTTCTTTTAGCTCTGATTGTATGTTGTATTCTACCATTTGTAAAGAAGTTAATAAGCAAAGCTGTAGACAACAGAACACCTACCTTCCTGAACCAGGACCAAGAGGATCCCCATATGATGGATGAAGAAAAACCTTACACCCCATTACGGTCCCTCCCCGCCAATAGTAATCTCACAATTTTGTAGGGATAGCATCTGACTTCCTTATGTACAAAGTCTGTGGCAAGGGAGGTGATGAAATAGTCATCACTTGTCTAACGTACAGCACAAAAGAGTTCCAAGGTACATAAGGACAGATGAGCTAGGCTTTATAGGGACAGAGTAAAATAGTCATTTTAAGGGGGGACTGTGATGGATTTGGTAAAATGCCTATTTCGTTTCCTATTGAATATATATATATATATACGCTATTTCTATAAGTTTTATAAATATTTACTTTTATACTTTAATACATATGTTGTGTGAATATTTTTCTGCCTGCTGGGCTTTGTGGTACTTTAAGAAATCCTTGCTTAAGAAATATTTGCTCACAGGAACAGACCCCCTCCCATCGTGTGATTTGGAAGACAAAAGAATGTTTTTCTCTTTTTAAGATAAGACTGAAGAAGATCACACTATACCATGACGGAGATTGTTTTCCTGTAAAGTGACCAATCAAAGACTAATATAATGCTTATGCTGTTATCACGTGATGTTCGCATCATTCTTCATATATAAACTCACGGTTTCATTTCAATAAATTAGAGAGAAGTTTTCACAGACCAAACGTGTCAGTGTGGGTTTCTTTATGTGCGCACATTCCAAAAGCTGGCCAGCGTCATAAATTTTGGACAGGAACAGATAAGCACTGGATGATTAAGTCCAAGACTAAAACACTCTACCCTAATCTACACAACACTACTCTA